GGTTTTAATTTCTGAATTTAATAGTGTTATTTCTGTAAATTAATTTTTATTAGCTTGCACCATATCCTTCTCCTTGGTATGCCTTATTTGTGGATAATTGTTTTCCCATTTGTTCAGCTCTTTCCTAGACAGGAGCCTGTTCTGAATTCCTCAAAGTGTACTGCTGCTGATGTTCACATTATGAGTTCTGTTTTCCGTTCTTTCAGTTTCACAGAAGGAAAATTATGATAAAACTAGATAAGAAAACTTAGACACACTTGGACCTTATTGGGAAATTATGAATTCAATTGCATAATTAATGCATGAATAGTCCCCTGTCATAATTGATTTTAGTTAAATTTTCTTTTAGTCCATTTATATGCTAATATTCTATCTGCTCTAATCTTTTTGATCCAATTTTTTTTCAGACTGATCAAAAGCTACGTGTTTGTGATATTTGTGGAGCATTTTTGAGTGTTTATGACAGGTACATTTTATTATCTTCTACTTCTTGATAAATAGTCTTTTATCTTCTTTGTAAGGGCTTCAAAAAGTTAGTGTTTGAGGTTTCAAGTGCTTCAGCTTTTGACCTGGCTATTATACCTCGTCACAAGCAGGCTTTTGGGCCCAGTTTTACGATGATAACTTTTACAGCTACATAATGTGTGTCTTTTTCTGTTTTTGTACTTGTAGATCATGCAATTGTTAGATAATAAATATTTGGGAAACTATATAATCTATAATGGATGCTACTGCAATATATATATTATTTGCTTTTTTTAAGTTTCTAGGTCAAAGTGATTTGATTTTTCTTGTTCTTTTCAGTGGCCCATGTTTACCTGATCATTTTGGAGGCAAACTTCATTTAGGCTATATGCAAATCTGTGATAAATTAGCAAAACTTCTGGTAAGATGATTTACATGCTTAGTATATGCTGACTGTCTATGGTGGCTCTGCTTTAAGTGTTACATAAGGCTAGGGATAGTGCCTGGCATCCAAGGTGTTGGTTGTATAAATTGCTAGAACTATCCACTTACTATGTCTATTATTATTATTTTTTTAAATAATCAGAACTTTATTTGAACACTGTTACTTAATGGATTCTAGTAGAACAGCAAATTTATTCATCTTTTATAGATCCCCTTAAGCTTGTATTGTGAAAATGTTGGTCAGGTGCTGGTATAATGTTTCTTATTCTTCTATACATATTTTCAATTAGTATATCATCTGTGAGTTTTTCTGACCTCAGAGAAGAATAATATCTTCCATTTTTCAATTTCTTTTGATTGTTTGTAGATGCTGGACTTTAAAACAGTATTTTCTACCTTGTCTGTGCATATTGGGCTTAAATGTATCAAATATGAATTGTCTTCATGCTCGACCAATTTTGATAGATTAGTTTTTTCGGCTGAAAGAATGAAAAAAAAAATGGTAACATGAAATCAATTAGGAGAGTACAAGAAAGGAATTTGTTGTAAGTAATGCGAGAAAAAAAATGTCCTTTTCGTATGTTTAAAATCTATGACAATAAATCTGATGAAGGCCTGATTTGGTCAGGGTAAGTTGCCTATTAATTATGCCTACCACCATTAGAATTCTTTCCTGATGGTCCTTATGGCATGTTATAGTTAGCTAAATTGAAGTGACATTTAACTTTTCAAAAGAAGCATTCAGTAGTATTTGGTGATTATTGTTTTCTCAGGAAGAGAGAAGCAAGAGTCGCAAACTTGACCGGTATGATGACAAGAGGTAATCCTCACGTGGTTTATTTTCCTTTTTCCTTTTGGTAAACCATGGGGTGGTGAGTGGGGTGTTGTGACATCCTTTTGATTGGAGTACAGATCGAAAGAAAGAAGCAGAGATCATGAGAGAGAATCAAGTTGGGACTCAGACCGAGGGAATAGCCGTGACCAAGCCAGGGATTATGATCCTAGGAGCAGAGATCATGACAGGTATAGTGATCGAGATCGTAATAAGGATTATGAGCGCTCTCGAACTTATGATTCATTGATTCTCGAAGTCACTGCAGGTCATGTTCAAGGTCTAGGGAACACTCTAGGGATCATGATTGCCACAGGTACTTGTTTAACATTATCCCATGCTTATTTAACAATATATTCTTAGTTTTGTTTTGAGATCCTTTTTTAACTTATTAAATGTATAATGTAATATAATATTTGTTTTCTGTTATTGTAAAATGTGCCATCCTGGGTCTTTTACCATTCTTTTCAAATTTAATGCTGAACTCTGGCTAGTATTTGAGTCCAAGAAGCTAAATATAAGATAAAAGCCAGGGACAGCTGCATCAAATATATTTGAGGAAGTGAGCTACAATCCTCTATGATTCTGGCAACGAAGAAACTGTTATCACGTGAAGCTACATCCTTCTTTTCTTTCTTTCTTTTGTTTTCTCTTATCCTCATGAGGATAAGAATCTTACTCAGCATTTTTGGCTGCTATCATCTGTTTCTAGTATATTTCACTTAGTATTGGAATACAGTATAGAGAAATGGTTATAATCTTGAATAGAACAAAAACCAACCATGCTTAAGGCATAGGGGTTGAGCAAACACCTGTACCGTAGAATTTAATGCTATTTTTCTTCACATAAAAAACCCTGTTTTTTTTTAATCTCATCTAAATTCTAAAATATCTTGACTACTGTTTGTTTATGATGAGCTGATGAAGGGATGGCATTCCTTTAGTACCTCATTATATTATCACGTGATAGTTATTGCTTGGATTTGAATCTTGATCTTAACCTCAAAAACCAGTGATAGATATTTGCCTTCCTTATTGTTCTTTTTGTTTTGTGTCTGAAGCTTCTGAAGTTTTCTGTGCTGATAGGGATTATTCTTGAATGTTACTCATTGTTTTTAATCAGGCGTGACCGATACTAGATGCATGAATGCTGCCCAAGAAGAAAATGAATACGAAACCGTTCTTGCTTATGTAAGCCAACTTATATAGGGGAGTAGCATTCCTCAGTTATGTTATTTGATAGTTTGTCATGTGGTTGTATCAACATGTTTAAGAGGGTGTTTGCTGTTTTTGGTTCCTAGAGACTAGGAATTGAATTCTAAACTTGTGGTTAAGAGCATAAGTAATTCTATTACTAAACCAGAGGGTGTTTGTTACTTGGTGATGTGTGTTTGGTATTCATTATCATTGGAAATGTAAGTTTGCTTGATTTTACTATTCCAATTTCCATGTCAGGCAAATTTTCAGTTAAGTATCGAAAAAGAGAATTAAAATAATGAGGTTAAATTTTATTTTCTGCTTTGACAGCTTGATATTAAGTTGGCAAGAAAATTGAGGATGCTGGAAACATGATTCACATAATTATATCTAGATTCAGTCTCATCTAATGGTAATCATGCATGATTGGGTGTGAATTGATATGCATGAATGAATTATGTAAGAAAATAAAAAAATTTTGTAATTCTCAATCATTTGCTGTGTAATAAGCATTAGATTAAATTACAACCAAAAGTTAAATGGGAAACTGCAAGGAGTGTAAGTTTATCCATCGATATGAAACATCACTTAGAGAATCATCTACAAAGAAAGGAGTCTGCTCTAAGTATGCAAATGTACATCTCCAATATGCAAAGTGGCTCAATTTGTCTCATCTTGTGTAGCTTATTAACACACACAAGGTAAAAAAATGTGAATCTCAATGGAATCTAGGTATCACAAAAAAAAAAAAAAGAGGGTAACCTAAGAGGCACCAAAATCTGTTGTGCATGTGAAAGCTAAAATTTATATTTAACTTATGGTTTGTCTTGTGTGTAAAGGAAAAGAAAATAGCGAACTCATCAAAATCAGCAAACCATATTCTAATTAAAACCAAAGTACAGTAGAACCTAATTGATAATTATCAAGTAATATTTGTCTTTTGAATAATCTCTCCTTAAAACACCATAAACGAAAGTTTAATTTTAGGTGCCAAGCAAAATGGCAGCTTCTCGAAGTTCATAGCCAACTCTCTTTTTTTTAATCAGTGAAATAAATAAAATTTATTAAATGAAGCA